GTGCAACATTACCGGTAGGTACTTCATTAGTCAACCCACAAGGAGCTGTAATGCGGAGGAAGTAAAATGCCCAAATAGGTGTGGAAAAAGCCAACCTGGCAAGGAGGAAAGGTGTGGAAACTTTTAACAAGACACAGGATATTGATGCACTGAATGTCCATGTCCAAGCGAGTATGTGTGTCATTGCGTATGTGTGTGTGTGTGTGTGCGTGTGTGTATGTGTCACAGCGTGTGTTTGCCACTGCGTGTGTGTGTGTGTGAATGTGTATAATGTGTGTGCGTGCGTGTGTGTACGTGTATGTATGTATGTGCGTGCGTGCGCGTGTGTGTGTGTGTATGTGGGTGTTAGCCATGGAGAACAGCTGAGCTGACGTCTATATTTCAGCTTCCTATACGCATCCTGATAACGGCAGAGAAAGAAGCCACAGACATACATGACATTGCAAAGTGTTATGTCAGCCTGCAATTTTATGCTAGCTGCATAATTGAGGGCAATTGGAGTCTAAAACTGCGGGCACATTTCCTGGACTTCGAGAAAGGAGGTGGTGTGCCATCCGGAGTGAGGGTTGCCAAACGGAGCACCTGGAGCATTCTCCATGCGCCCGACGCGTACGCTGATCGTGTGATCTCCAGCTGGAATGTTAGTTGCGGCGCTTGAGGTCGACTCGCAGACGCCAGTCAGCACGGAGGGAATGTGATCATTGCCCCCGGGAACCTGGATCATACCGATGTCGAGCTTGGTGGGTTTGGTGCACTCCAAGTCGTCGATCACAAAGTACCACCTGACATGCCCGTTATACTCGCCTGTGCGAATGTTACTGGAGTAGGTGAGCTTCAGGACAGTGTTGGTCTGCTTCTTCCTGAAGGTCAGTGACGCAATCTGGCCTTCATCCTTCTCGTCGTGAATAGCGTAGCGGGTCTGATACTTATAGCCGAGAGTCCGCAGGTTGCAGCCACTGCCGAGAAACTGCAGTGTGTGATTGTGCACACCAGAAGTCAAGATGATTAATTTAAAATAAAAGATCAACTATACTCGGGCACTGCAACTCATTGAACCCGCACAATCTTGCTTCTACGAATTTGCTGCTCGACAGGCAGCGATTGACACAACTTTAGGGGAAAGAGTTACTCCGATGTACCTGAAATAAATTTCAAATGATGAGAAGAATTTGAAACTCGGACTTTCTGACTGTATATAGTATCCAGTTACAGTGATGGAGAGTTACTCTTAACTCGTATCCATATGTCCTTTTCCTTTCTAGATATTAAGAAGAATGAAAAGAGATCCCCGGCATAATCGCAGTATGCCTTCCAATAATCTCTCGCATTCTCTTTCTCATTTTTTCTTTCGATGTCCAGATATCTCTGTGTCTCCCTCTCTATAATTAGTCTGCCTTTTTCTGCCCTTGTGCGTACTTCAAGTATGTATGTGTAGGTGGGTCTATCTCTCTCGCTCTCTCTCCCTCTCTTTCTCTCTCTCTCTCTCTCTCTCTCTCTCTCTCTCTCTCTCTCTCTCTCTCTCTCTCTCGCTCGCTCGCTCTCTCTCTCTCTCTCTCTCTCTTTATCTCTCTCTCTCTCTCTCTCTCTCTCTCTCTCTCTCTCTCTCCTTGGATCTCTGCCTCTCACACAAACACACTCTCTGTCTGGGTGTGCCTTCCCTTCTCTCTATCCTTCCTGTAATGTTTACCACGATAGCTACAGCTGCAGCCACCACTACCATTACTCTCCGTTCTTGGGGCTTATGAGTTTCTCGTAAAAACCTCTACACAGTCACACATCTCCAAGAGCGGGCAGGCCGCGAATCCTGATATCGGTATTGTATCCCATTACCAACCTGGGTGCGATCCTGAAGGAGTTGCTCCAGCTCAGTAACCTTTTCCTGCAGACTGTTGAAACTGGTCAGAGAAGCGAGACGTGCTGCAGGTTGGGACAATGCAGAACATTCATGAATAAGGGCGACTTCTTACAGAACTCAGATGGTGAGTCAAGCAAAAAACACGGAAACAATTAATGTGGGCACAAGTTATACGATCGAGTCCACAAACTAAACCAGATTTTGAACAGTCAGACGTGCACAATCTAGCACAAAACGGACAAGGACTAGTGACACATTCCACGGCATGAAAGTCAGCTTGAGCACTGCAGGCCAGCATTCCATGAAGCCTTGGAATGTAGCTTGTGCTCAGCGATGTCGCTTACTCTACCTTCAAGTTCCCCTCTTTGGAATTACAGTCCATTTCAAAACTATAGACGCGTACCTAGGCAAAAACCGTTATGCCAGCATCTATACCACATAAAATCTGTGATCACTTTGTGCATAAATTTTTCCAAATTGGGCGTCTGTTATCCAATCCTTTAGGAACTACATATGAGAGTAATTGTGGAGCGATCCTGAGCAATATTCCGAAAACTATTCTCAAAAAGTTCCAGCCAAATTTGAAATATTTCAAAAACCCTACGCGTCTATAGTTTTGAAATGCACTGTAGCACTCCATGAACCTTCTTAGTTGGAAGGCATTTCGTTATCGCTATCGAGCAGTGCTCAAGCTGATATTCATGCTGGGCAATGTCTCAGTACTCCTTGTCAGTTATGTGCTACATTGTGCACGTTTGACTGTTTAAAATCTGGTTTAGTTGGTGGACTGGTTCGCACAACTTGTGCCCTCATTTTTCCATGTTGCACTTCTTACGGAATACATCTCAATGAACACGGGGAGATGGTGCATGACTTAGAAGGAAAACTGCTCACGAGCAATGTCTGCAGGGAGTGATGCGACGATACTGGATACACATAATTATAGCTGATTAAACGCTTTGATTGGGCGTATGCAGATGCGGTCACAGGAACTCTGTCTGCCTCCATTAGGCTCCAATATCCGGTTTATCATCATACTCGTTTACCTGGACGTGACTTCCATGATTTCACTCCCGCCCCCCGCCCCCTGCATCCAAACTGGATGCAAGAAGTTGTTTGTTTGTTTTGTTTGTTTGTATTTATTTTGATTCGCAAATTCAAACGGGCATAGAACCCAATAACATGAAAGCGAATATGAAAATTATAATGAGAATGAGAATTAAAATACTTAGATCTTCAGCGTAGAGTCAGCGGTACATCAGAGGGAGATCGGGTACAACAGAGGGAGATCGGGTACAACAGCAACAGAACATAAAAACAGAAGATTTCGCTTGTCTTCATCATCTACAGGGCACAGGTATAGGTGATTACCTGCATGCGAAACTGCCGAGCGTGATGGATGGCACGGATGTCGCTGGGGAGGGCATTCCATAATACAGCACCCTTGCAAGCAAAGCGCCCCCGCCCCGTAACCGAATGGGAAACTGGCACGCACAGGTGCCCTGGACGATCTATCGGCATTCATTGGTGGGTATGTGGGTACCCCCCCCCCCCCCCCCCCCCAATCACTCACCCACCCAGCCAGTCACGCACATACTAGACATGCACGAAGCAGTTCTCCTCCCTGGACTTACATGTCTCGCAGTAGTCGCCCATGTAATGCGAGTCACACTTGCATGCGTACGACTCCATATCTGGATGGGCCAGCTCGCATTGTCCGGCATTAAGGCAGGGTGAAAATTCCGTACATGCTTCCGAGCTTTGCACTGAACAGAGAGTACGACAAAACAATCAAGAACTCAGAGATCTTTGTATTGATATCATTATCTCATGGCACATCATGATGACGGCCAGTAAAACTGAGACAAGGGTGAAAGCCAACCACAGCAGTAAAACAGATGATAACATGATTATTAGGCGTCTGCCTGTTTTGGTTTCTCCACTATAAACAAAAGAATACTACTACTACTATAATATGGAAAGTCATAAATCACGAAAATATAATTCGACGGACAGACCATGTTTAGAACATACAATGAAACCTGTCTAAGGCGACCGCTCGAGGGACCTTCAAAGTGTGGTCTCTGTTACTAGGTGGTCTCCTTTTCCAGGGTCATTTGACTGGAAATAGCACCCCTTGGTCCTGGCTGCTGTGGTCGTCTGGGACAGGTGGTCGCCTTATCCGAGTGGTCGCCTTGACAGGTTTTACTGTGCTTGCGTAGAGAAGTGTACATGTATCCCTATGTTGCCTGATGTGTGGAACTGAACGTGATGCCGAGAATGGCAGCGAACTGCTGGTCTTGAATTGCTAGCCCCTGTCACACAGTGTAACACACTCTGCCTTGTCGACCTCCCTGCATTCTTAGTCTCATCACGCTCACTGCATGGATGATGCATCCTCCTAATCACTGCCTCTTACTTCAAAGTAAAAAAAAATTAAATTATCGTGTCCGTTCCCGAAGGGAACTCACGACGGCCACTAACACCCGATAAATCCTAGCGGCAGATGCAGCGCCTAACGGTGGGGTGAGTGGATAAGTCTCACAACCACTGGCATAGCAACGTACAGCGGGAGAAATTAACAGTTTTACATTTAACTGAAAGGATTGGAAGAACTTTTAGAATTCATAGAATCAGCCCGGGAAGTGGCTTTTGTTCGTTTCTACTGTATATCACCAGATGCATAGTCATTTCTGCTTTATCGCCTAATCATAATGACTAGCAGTGTCACGTTGTCACTATAATTATACATGTACATGTAAAGTAGACGTATTTGGTGGGACTGCCAACATTCTAATTACTAGTAACACGTGTTGGTAAGCAGGCGCGTGCCCCGTATGGGTTCCTGGGTGCCCAGAACCCCCCCCCCCCTTTCGCTCAAAATGCAGGATTTTGGTTCATTTTTTGAACATTTTCCCGGGGGAGGCCGCCCGGAACCCCCTCCTTGAAGGGCACCGGCGCACGTGCCTGGTAAGTAGACTCACGTAAGCACTGCTGAAGATCATGTGCATGGGTCGTGCCCGAAGACGACAGAAGGAACTCGAGGACACCTTCAGGAGTGGCGATCATCGACTCCTCCGTGAGCCCGGCGTCGAGCAGGCGCTGCTCGTACTGCAGTGCAGTGCTGTGCGGAATACCAGCCTTGAGCATTCGCTTTACCATACAGCTATCGCCAGCTATCAGACAACACGCAATCATATCCGAAACACAACACAAACAAACACAGTGAAACTCAGTATTAAACGTACGGTGACAACAGGAAAAGAAGAAGGGGATGAAGATTTCATTGTAACTCCTAGTTTCGTGCACAAGGCGATCGCGAACGCACGTATGTACATGACATAGTACATGTACATGTAGGTTCACTTTCGCATGTCCATGTACATGTTATATGTACACGTCGTGTATACAAATAATAATACGTATTCAAGTGGTTTGCTTCAGTGTCCGAAGAGTGCTCAATAGTACCCATGTAGGGCAGAGCCTTGTACACAAGAGAGAGATTGGAAGCTTAGAGTTGTAACAAAGCTTCCAATCTCTCTCTCTCTTGTGTACGAATAATAATTCTTTAAATTTTGCTTCACCTTCTTTCACTTTTATTTGTCCATATAAGATTAGTTCAAGTAGTTCCCATTCCATTGTTACGTAGATTCACTGATGATTGTAAAAAGAAAAAGTTCTGAACGACTCCTCTCTTTCCCTTCCTTGTGTGCCTTGCGATAATCGTACAACATTTTACACATACATGTCGACATTATATGAAATGCTTACTGTGCAATTAGTTGTCTTTGTAGCTATATTTTAAATTTTTACTCGGTTTTCGAGAGACATTCATCAGGGAAATATGTCTCAACAGTGAAATCTAGCAATGAGCAACAACATTATACGTGTAGAGGTACTGGGAATATAGAGTGTGAAAAATTATAGGAGATAAGAAGGTGAGGTGTGAAAGGTTCGAGTAAGTGTGAGCCAATAGAGAGGTTAAGATGCACGTTATTTCTGACGTGACGCGAAAGTTCAGCTCGCGTTGTTTGCTCACACGTCGAAAAATCAACGCGAGTGACCTGCTGCTCACGTCGAAATTTGGAGTTTTACGCCAAATTTGACGTGAAATTGCGCGTCACGTCGGAAATAACGTGCATCTTAAGTTAACCTCTCTAATAACTTACTTGTAGTAGTAGGGATGGGTGAAGAGAAGAGATGAAAATGAGGAGTTGAGAAATAGGCAAGGTGAAGATGTACATGTACGTCTCTTGAAAATCGATTAGGAAATACATTGCCTGGTAATACCGTGGTATGGCATGAGCTGATTGTTTAGTAACTGGTTGTGTTTTAAAAGTGAACATTGTGGCGTAACTTGTCGTTCCTTGGTCCATTTTCTTTTCTATAAATGTATTACCGGTACTCAAAGTCTATTCTTAACTCAGACGCAGCAACGAATTCGGCCATTTGAAACTAATTTTAACTGCACGCCTCTCCACACAGCGCTCTTGGCTCGTATTCATAACACAAGATTTCACAGTGCGGAAATTCGCTCTTGGATAGATGCTATAATAGCCTCCAGAATCCAGACCGCTGTTTCGCTCATTGAGAGCTCCTCAGTGGAGGACTGGAGGTAGATAACGAATGAATAGCAGATGGGGGAGTGATTATATTTATAGGGTAAAGGAGGTGCAATTGCGCCCTTTCTACGTAGAAAGGTGGCATACCCAATCAGAATAATGTTAAAAAATATGCAGAATTTTGAAATTTCCAATCGACTCTCAAAGGGTTAAGTACTGCGACAATCATGACTAGAGACTAAAGGATTGTTCACTGTGGATTTGCTACTACGAAACGAACGCATTTTTGTTTGTTTCTTTCTTTCTTTCTTGGTATATTTTATTTGAATTCGCAAATCGAAACGAGCACAAATGCTCAATGACAAGGCAGTGAATATGTTTTAAAGCCTGCACCGCCGTCTTACACACGCACCCTCATCATCACCCAAATTCCCACCACTCAGCTCACCTTCTCCCTCACTACCCGTACCAACACCTTCCTCGTTGTCCGCACCGGTTTGATCCTCTTCCCCGTCCACTTCTTCCGCTTTGTCCAGTTCGTCACTATCTAAATCAATATAATCTCCAACTTTGGAGCTACCTGCAAAATCAACAGCAAACACGGCAACAACAACGATCACCAGCTTACATCCAACAACACAACTTTAACTAATCCACATTACACTGTAAAAGGCAGCTAATAACAGAGCACGCACGTACATGTACATGTAGATCAACAGCAGATTACAACTTACAACAGTACCTGTGCATTCACTGTAACACATGCAATCCCAACAAACCGAGAGCGCGACAACCGGAGCGACGGCAGCGGGAGCTGCAGCTTGTGTTGACGGTAATCAGGGAGTAGATAATTATTGTACAGTAAAACCTGGTTTAAGCGACCACCCCACGGTGCAAGCAAGAGCGGTCATTAAAGCCAGGTGGTCTTTAGAACCAGTTCCCATAGTGTCTGTGTGGAACTGTCGGTGCATGGAAAAACGGCCGTTAAGAGCAGGTGGTCGCTAAGCACAGAGGTCGCTTACACCAGGTCTTACGGTGATGGCGGGACGCAGGACGAAGTGGACAGGCAGGATAGTCAAATCGGTCCCCCCCCCCATCACACACACACACACACACACACACACACACACCCTTTGCTATCATATTATCATTAATTGGGCTATGACCCCATTTGACGTCCTTGCTGTATTTTCATCATGTGTTTTACCAGTTTCCGTCTTTGCTAATTCGTTTCAAATTCAATGTATCCCTTAGTTGTCGTCACCCGTCCTCTATAGTTTTACCTCGTTCTGGCGCCCATTTCCTTAAATCCCCTCTCTTCAGTTTATCTGTGGAATGGAACAAACTTCCAGAACACATCCGCTGCGTTCAGTCCTCTGTCAATTTTCGCATTGCTCTAAAGGCTCATTACTCTCAGCATAGATATTCTCTGACTGGAATTCCGAACTTTTCCGTTTGAGAATTTTTTTTTCCTTGAAATTAATCCTTGCTGGTTTTTTTTCATCTAAATGTCCCGCTATTATCTGCAGAGGTGATTTCTTCCCTCGTCGATTTCTTTCCTGCTTTTATACCTCGATATTTAGGTACTTGTTTCCCTTCTTCCCATGCTTCATCTTCCACTCTCCTCTCCCCATTTCCCCATTTTTCTTGCGATATTTATGTGGGAGACTTCCGTGATAAGCATCCATTTGCTTTTGGAGAATCCTTTTAAATAAATACAATACAAAATACAAAAATACTTTGCGAAGTAAAATGAAGAACACCATACACTATGATTCACCTCAGACCCTAATCTACCATCTGTAAGTACACTGTAACGCTTAGAGCCATTGGCATTGGGCCATTACAGCCGTCAAGACCATTCAGAGGGTGGCCAGGATGCATGCATAGTATTACAGTGGATGGGTAAACTAGAGTATTGCATTGGAGTCATGCATATAGTGGATTATTACATTGGAGTCTTTCAATCTTCACAGTATTTTATTAACACACTCTAAACAGATCGCCAGGTAAAATTTAATGATATAATTATATGGAGACATTCAAAGAGGGATCGAAGAACTTAAAGGGGAACTGTCACCAAAAATTTTCTTTGTCTTATCTTGTAGTTCTTTGGCTCCTGATCACGATGGTGTTATTCGTTTTTCTCTGCGATGACTGGAAGTGGGTGAAAACTTGGAAAGAAGGTGCCCAAAATTGTCCCGAAGTACCGAGTGACGTCACGCCGGACTTGACCTCCACGCGTACATTCATCGTCAAAAACGAAGTCCAGCCCGTGTGCTCGTCGATCGAGCCAACTGTTCGATGTACGGTGCACGCTTGCCTTCTGAACTCGGACACTCGATGTGTACTGTTGTACACAATGAGAACGCCAAAAAGGGACAAAATAAACAAAACTTTTCAAAAGTCGACTGCAGTTTGTCGCACTGGTACTTCCTCCACGACGCTCCAGCTCTTTGTTTTATTTGTGATTACGAAGGAGTGGAAGGATGTTTGTTTGCTGTTAGTGTGACACACATACCTCGTACTTGAAAATTATGTCGTTGTATCGAAGGTGGCGATGTTGCCCACCCGGCTCTGAAATGAAAGACGTCGGAGTTCGTCATCTGCATCTTCAGCAACATCGCCAGATGAATCGCCTTCACGTAACTACATTGCGTTCCTTTGGGGCTCGGGTTAGTGGTGTTATCGCCGGCCGGATGAGTATTGTTTTCTGCATACGCACTCATCATCGTGTTGTTCCTCACACGAAAAGTTCAAAACAACGACGTACTTCCGTGCTCACAAAATAAAACTTAGATCTTCGCGGAAGAAGTCAAAAAGGTGAAAGCTCAGCTGCTTTTTATTTTGATTTGGCTGTGTAGCTGCACGGGGGTCTCTGCCTCTTTGGCATTCTCCTTCGGTACGACGTACCCATCTGTGTTACAGTTCAAAAGGCACACGTGCACCGTACATTGGAACAGCTAGCTCGATCGACGAGCACACGGGCTGGACTTCGTTTTGGACGATGAATGTACGCGTGGAGGTCAAGTCCGGCGTGACGTCACTCGGTACTTCGGGACAATTTTGGGCACCTTCTTTTCAAGTTTTCACCCACTTCCAGCCATCGCAGACAAAAACGGATCACACCATCGTGATCAGGAGCCAAAGAACTACAAGATAAGACAAAGAAAATTGTTGGTGACAGTTCCCCTTTAACTGTTAAATTTAGCATGAATGCAACGCTGAATAGATTGACGCAACACTCGTTTCAAGCCGCGCGTGCCAGCTACCCGCACATGTTTATTTTATATGTTTACCGTGAACACAGCCTTGCTGAGGTACATGTGGAGAACAATGCTCTAACACGTGTACAGCAATGATGGGATTTCTGTTACGTACCATTAACCATGTGACCGGACACCAGCAGAAGCACGGCGAACGCCAGGCAGGCAAGGGACAGAGGAGCCAGCTGATGTGCCATGCTTGAACTCGCTGCAAGATGATGCAATGCACGAAGAGGGCGTCCTGCTGAAACGGGCAGTGAAAATCAAAGTACTCTTGCTTCGTCTTCCCTCGCTTCCTATAGCAATGGTACTCAGTTTTCTCTTTTATAGCCGTCCAGGGATGCGATTGCTTCCCTTTTGTTACCTTGCAGAGAATAGGGAATCTGATTTCAACGCGCAGTACAGCTCGTGCTTTATCGAGCCATATTTCATCTTTTATTCTATCGCCATCAAAATATTGGGCATCAATGCCCATTTGGTTTGTGCGGTAAAATAGAAACTTCAAACGATGTAAAGTGCAAAGCACTCCACTTCAGCGACATTGACAGCAGATGTCATGCTGAGTCAATCGCTAAGTCACAGTAAGTGGTTCACGAACAAAGACGTTCAAATCATCACATCTGCTCCGTGGCCGAAACGTGCTATTTTGGTCTTGCATACGCGTCCATGGAGCTATGAAGCCTTGATCTCTGGTCGGTTGAGCTTAATGGGCCCCACCACCACACTCCATTATTCACCCCAGTGTCTAGAGATGTGGATTTTGCAGGAAAAATATTCGCTCATGTCGTGATTTCCGAAGAGCACTTTACCAATGTCCAATATGATTTCTGGCCTGCCTCCGTGTGCGTTAGGTTCCGCCGGATTATGTCGGTATATTATTAATTTGGTGATGTTGTTCTTTTCTATAAATTTATCCTTGGCTCTCCATCCGAGTCCATTCTTGGCGTTGTTGTTGTTGTTGTTGTTGTTGTTGTTGTTGTTGTTGTTGTTGTTGTTGTTGTTGTTGTTGTTGTTGTCGTCGTCGTTGTTGTTGTTGTTGTTGTTGTTGTTGTTGTTGTTGTCGTTGTTTCAAATCTTTATTCTCACGATTGTTGTTGTTGTTGTTGTTGTTTATTTACTTAGCAGATTCTAACGTGCAGGTTACCCAATAACAAGAAAGTGAAGAACAAGAAAAAATTATAAATGAAATAAAGGGCAAAACAAAATGAGTAATAGCTTTAAAAAAGAAGAAAAGGCCGGGTTGCACAGCCGTCTTCCTATTCTCCCTGAACGGAGCAGACACATTAGCCGGATATATGTCACTATTACACAGCAGCACAGTAGCATAAGAGCTATCTCGGTCGAAATCAGTGAACGTAGACAAACTAGACTAAGAGTGGATAATAATACTTCTTTTGAAGTAATACCACAGCACGCGTAATAATATAATTATGTGGGTATAATTATACGTTCCGCTTCTGTCCTATCTCCTATGATCAAATTCCATAATCAAGATTATTATTAATACGGTGCACTGATGACCGGTGACGCCAGATCATGGATTGTCGGCCAGATTTCTCCATGTAGGCTTGTCCAGAGCGATGGCCCTCACATTCTCCAGCTGATTGCTGCGCTTCAAGTCGATGTTCCTTCTCTGTAAGTCGCTTGTGATGCGCGTCGCAATGGATGTCCTTGGACGTCCACGCCCAGCCTTGGCATCTCCTCCAAAATAGCCCGTCAGCGCTAAGAGTGGCTGCGACAGCTAAAGTGGCTGTGTATAGTACTAGGCGTGGCCGTGCGAGTGTGCCCATGTTGATAAGTGGGATAATGACTGATACGTTTCATGGAATGAGTGTATGGGGGATGCCTGACGTCTTGAACACACTGCCTTGGGGGATGGTGCGGGTGCGGCTGGGTAGTGCGTTCCACAGCTGGGAGCGCCAGCAGAGAACCTAACCTGACCAGCAGCGGCTTTCGGCGGGTGGTAGACTCCACGTGCGCTCCGATGTCCTGCAAGCGGGTACGCCGATCCGGTGACCTTGAAATCATTGCATAGAGCAGGTTACCCGCAATGCCATGGATGCATCGCCAGGTGAGCAGGAGTAATTTGGTGGTTGAAAATTTGGAGCATACAAATTGGGCATCCTTTCGGAGGTAAGAGCATAACTACATGATTGTACCAACGTTCTAGTATGTAGGCTACACAACTGTACACAATGCACCTAATCAGCGGGTGTCGTCTGCATGGTGAAGGGCTCAAAGGTCATACAGGCAGTTTTTTCAATGAACAGTTGGTTGGTTGGTATATTTTATTTTACTTCGCCAGAATAAACAGGCATTGCTGCCTTCTTGCCGGGACAAGTGGACTGTCCAAGCTCTCACAAAAAGACGAAGAAAGGAAAGAAATATTACATGAGAGTGTGAAGCATGCAATCTGATAACAGCAGGGTAGAAATCATGGCAATACAGGCATTGTTGTATGCTCGAACTCGTCTTCTACAAGTTCTTCGTCGCGATGGTACAGATTATGTGGCGGAAGATGCGAATACACGGAGTCTAAATGACCGGTGAGATGTTGAAGCAGTGCATTTCCTAACATGCTTGCAGACCATTATAATTATAGTTATACCAATAGGATAGGATTTGATCAGATAAAATCTTGCACAGAAATGGAGAGGATGGACTATTGGTGAGCTGTTTAAAAAGGTGACCTACTTTGAATACTTCGACGCATTCGAGAGAGCACAGAACTGGGCGTGACAAGGGTCACAGCGCATCATGGGCGGTAATTTGTTCCAGAGAATGGCGTCAATGCATTGGATTGTACCTCTACTAGAAGAACCGGGGCAGAAGGGTACATGTACATGTACATGTACCTGCAATGGGTTCTCATCGCCTCTGCGGTTGCGATTCCTCTGTGTTCTGACGTAATAATTCCGAAACAAGACACTCGAACGGCCATGGATGCAGCGACGAACGAATATTAGAATTGCCAGGGCGTCCTCGGGGGTGGGAAGGCAGAGTCTCTCGAACGAAACGCCCTGCAGTGGAAGTCCACGGCTTAAAGCCAAATAATGCATGGATCGCAGCTTTAGTCACCGAGCGAGGGCATCCATGTTTCAGTCCATCAGAGACGGATAGATTGCGTTGGACACGCATGTTAGTTTGGACACAATCCCTGCATGATGAAATATCTTTCGAGGAGACTATCAAGGTTTGACGTGAGCACCATAGCGCATCAATCGAGCGTCGAACTTGACTGGTCAACGTGACCACCCTAGGAGAGCTCATGAGCAATAACTCCGAGGTAGCCTGTGACACAATTGTTAGCAGTTTCCCGTCGCAACGGATCTGGAGTGGTTCTGCACTCTGCTGCTCAGCCCCGAGGTGTTATACGCAAGACCTGTGTCTTCGTCTGATTCAGGCCACGGTCCGCAAGCCAAGTTGCCAGATAGGTGACAGCGGTGCTTAGGGAGGTGCAGTCGTCCCGATCCAGAAAGCATTATCCGTGGGTAAATTAACGCCTACTGTTGTTGATTCGCAAACGGAATCAAGCTCATGGAACATGGCTCCGATCTAAATGCCAGGCTGACTGCGATGTGTTCAAAGAAACCAGGCGTCTAGTATGTTGTGACCGGAATAAATCGGGAGCTGAAGGCGACTTTTCACCAGACCAAGTTCTTTCGTGTTCAAAGTAATCCAGGGAAAACGTGTCAAGTTTTGAATGAATTATCTGGCAGACAACGTGCTCCATCAGCTCCCCAGTGCTCCTATTATAATGGAACTCCCTTCAATTTAGACTATGTCTTTGGGACATCCTCAAATAAATTATACAATAACTAACTAACATCTTTCAGTTCCGTATCAATAGCGTATGTGCGCAAACTCTTGGCTTCTGTAGATACGAGCAATGCAACAGGCAGTGATGGAATATCTACTTTTGTCCTTAAATCGTGTGCTGATTTGCTAGCTCCCTCGCTAACACTGGTTTTCAATGCCTCCCTTGCCCAAGGTTCTACACCAAGTGGTATGAAATTGGCACGAGTGACACCTCTGTACAAGAACGGTAGACCGCTAGACCCATGCAATGTCCGTCCTCTATCTCTCCTTCCAATTGTGTCAAAGCTGTCGGAGCGAGTAATTCACAGACTGTATGAAGTCCATAGTATCTGTCCGTGAATTCAAACGCATGCTACGCGTATTTTACTTCGGTTAAATGTTGTTGTTGTTGTTTATTTTACTTCGCAGATTCTAACGGGCAAGTTGCCCAATAACAAGAAAGCGAAGGCAAAGAAAATAATACTAATAAAAGAAATAACCGGGGCAGCAGAAAATGAATAATAGCTTTAAGAACTCAGATGGTGAGCCAAGGAACAAATTTCCATGTTACAAATAATCGCTTTTAAAAGTAAAAAGAAAAGAGCGGGTGGTACAGCAGACTTCCTATTCTGATTTCCCTGAACGAAGCAGAGACATTAGCTGGGTACATGTCACTATTACACAGTAGCAAGAGAGCTACCTCGGTCGACATCAGTGGACGTGGACTACGAGTGGATGCGACATACGAGTGGATGCGACAGCAACAGTGATTGGAATAATGGGTGATACGTTTCATGGAGCGAGCGTATGTGGGATGACTGACATCTTGAACACACTGCGTTGGGGGATGATGCGGATGTCGCTGGGTAGTGCGTTCCACAGCTTGGGAGCGGCAACAGAGAACCTAGCCTGACCAGCGCGGCTTGCGGCGGGTGGTATGTGCGCTCGATGTCCTTCTGCAAGCGGGTACGCCGATCTGGTGACCTTGAAATCAGTCCACAGAGCCGGTTCCCCGCAATGCCGTGGATGCATCGCCAGGTGAGCAATAGCGCCTTTTGCTTGTGCAGCTCTGAGATTCGGTAGAGTTCCACCCGTTGGAGCAGAGGTTGAGCAGAGTCGTATGGCCGAGCGCCAAAAACTGCGCGAACCGCTTTGTTCTCCAGCGTCTGGAGATCCGTTGCTTGCTGGGCAGCTAGGCAGAACACGAAACAACTTGATGCGTAGGTCAGATCCGGCATCACCACGGACTTCAAGTAGGTGACTCGGGCCGCCAGGCTCAAGCATCTCCGAGTCCGCCAGAGGGCACCTACTTTGCGGGACACCTTTGCTGTAATGGCTTTCAGGTGTTGCTGAAAGTTCAGCCCCTCGTCAATGATGACGCCAAGGTACTTCGCGCTGGTGACTGTCGGCAGAGCTTGGCTGCGACAGAGGACTGTGACCCGGGGTCCAGCGTCTCTACCAGGAAAGACTGTGAGAACTTGACTCTTCTTCTCATTCAGAATCAGTCCTCGCTCTTCCA